AATAATAATATATTGTTAGATCTTCTGTTGGGAGTTTGCTGCAAAACATAGACAAGAAGAAGATAAAAATAGTACGACGAAAGAGGAACAAAATAAATTCCAAAGTGTGTATTTAGACTACTTTAGTTTCAATTCACCCCTACAAATTTAGACAAATTGAATGCAAATGAGTTAACTAGTGAATCCTCTTCAGGATACTTTGAAAACCTTAACATGAATCACACATTCACATTAAGCATAATGATCAAAGTTTCCTTATATATTCTTGTACACTATAAAAATAAAGAAGAAAAACTTGTACCAATTAATGAGGAGAAACAATGTTTTGATTGTTTCAAAATAATGACTCAGGAACAATCATATATACATAACGGTTAACACTAACACCAACTAGTACACTGGTTTGTTGGGTGCTTGCTCACCAACCTCGGCAAGTGCAATAACCAATACTTGAACCATTAACATCAATATTACCATTAACTATTTTAACCATTATGTCATTGTTTTTCTTTATGACTTCTTTGTCAATATATATTTAAATTTTTATTCAAAATATTTTGGAAATACCCCAAAATTCCTCCACCATTTTCAAAATATATCTAAATCTATTATTCAGGAAATTTCATAATTTCATATAAAGGTATGTTACGATTTGAACCATTACTTGTAGTAAGTTAAGTTTTCACTCATCCCCAAATAGATTGATAGAAAAGCTTCGAACCAATTATTCATTATAAAAAGCGTGCATAACTCATACACAAAATCTCAGTACCATTGATCAGGTTATTAATATGACACATAAATAAGACCTTGTGACTCATATCCTTTTCGGGAGAATTTAAGAGTCAAATTGTAAAATCTCAAATTTTCATCCGAGACCTGACTAAAAAATTATCAGATACTTATTTTTAATGGAAATAAAATTATTAAAAAATTTAATAAATTCCACCTAAAGCTACATTCCTAAGCAGAAAATCACCGCACTTCTAATTTCAATAAAAATACTAATTAAATGATTCCAAAATGTAATGCAGTTGATTTAGTTTTACATAATGCTGTTGAAAGAACCCTTCTTTCCCCACGAGCAACATCAAACAGTCATCAATCACTTTGAGAACTCCATATTTGTACCTAAGATGTTGTTGTAAGGGTCAGTTACCCATGTCAAAATAAACTAAATAAGAGTTAAAAATTAGAGAAATACCAATACACATATCATGTCCAAGAGAATTTAATAAAGGTACTCACCAAAAATTATTAACAACAAAACTATCAACTTAACACGGATTACACGTAAGATTTAATCACAATTATCAACAATCAATCACATTTCGGCCAGATGCAGAATATGCATGCTCTTAAACTATATGATCCAGATATAAACTGCCACACACGCAAACACGCCACAAAGGCAAACACGCTACAAAGGGAAACCCTCCACAAACACACCACACAACATTTATCTCATGTCAATGAGGAAAATAACCCGCCACTAAAGCACCATATAGAAATGCATATGCCATAACATTTATGATAAAAAATGAAATAGAATCACCTTCTATTAAGACAAGCACCAAGATGTTTATACCCGCCACTATGACAACCACATAATACATGTAATATTTATTTCTTCTTATCTAAATAAAGATATATCACAATTTATTCAATTCATTGAAGAATTGATACAATATACTACATTAATATAAATTAACTCTCATTTTATTTATTTAAGTACTGCAACATTCGTACCAGCAATGATTATGTCAAATCAAAGCAATAGGTCTTGAACAAATTTATATTTAGGGTATTAATTTGTGCATGGTTGTTCAAATTTAATGATCTTACATAAACCCTAACACCACCACCCAAAAGCAGTTATAGTTTCCAATCGAAAAAAATTGATAAAATTCTTACTATAACAGCCCAGGCCCAAGTCATTTGACCAAAAAATGAGTAAAAAACTCAAAATTTAAAATTACCAATCTAACCCTAAGTATTATCAATCATATTTACAAAATTTTATCTCTCACATTTTAAGGGAATAGATAAATATTCACTCAAGAGATATGAAAAATGTTAAGTATTGCTCAAAAATTTCTCAAACCTTGATAAATATAATCGATAGTTTAATTTTGAATATTAATTAAAGAAAAGATAAAGATATAATCAAAATAAATCACTAACTTATATTTTTTTTTAAATTAGTTTTAAATATTAGATAAATCACGTACTATTAGTTTGTTTTTATTTTCATGAATTCAATATGACTCATTCGTACATTTCAATTGTTCTCCATGTATTAATTATGACTCTTAGAGTCATACATGTAGTGTAAGAGTGAATATTATATAGTTATAAACACAAAGTAACCATATATGCTAAACCCTATCATGTTTATATTTATTTAATTTCTTAATCTATTCTTTGGATACAGAATTTTTTCTCTGGTATTAAAATTTAAAAAATATTGATTAAACATATTTTCTATATCATTTTATATTTAAAATTTAATTCAACATTTATAACGTATAAATTCTAAACATGTTTACTATTTTCTTTTTTCTACCAATAAATACAAATTAAATACATTTTATCATAGTATTTTAAAAATACAAGTTAACTTAACCATTAATTTCATTAAATACAACAAATTCAATAACCTATAGGTTTTGTTTGGCAAGACAATTGTGTTTATGACTCTTTTTACAAAGTTATAATTAGCGTTAATAGATTTTGCCTTAAAATTGGATAAATTAATATATTCAATAATTGTCATTTTCTTATGGTTTTATTGTCCTCACCTTAATTCCAAGAATGTTAATTATAATATTAAAGTTAATTAAACTTATTTTTTTATGTCATTTGAGATTTATAAGTTTCTTCAACCATTACAATTATCATACACTTCAAATTCAATCGACTTGTAAATATTCTGCTAGTACAAGTGAATGATTGGTTATTTGTTATTTTATACCCAAAAATTATTTATAAATGTATTTTATAGCTTTTTTTAATTAAACAAATCCACAACTTTATATATATTTTTCATTCAATATACAAATTAATCAACTAATTTACCCATTATCAACAAATATAAAGTCGTGTATTATATAGAATTATTTTTCTTTAAATATACAATTTAATCGACTAATTTATTATAAACAAATATAAAGTCGTCTAATATATAGAAGTCTAAATAATTTATAAATAGGTTTTTGAACTCTTTAAATGAATTTAAATATTTTTTATTCAAACTTAAATACACAAATTACAAATATTAAAAAATTTAAAAACATAATTATATGTTATTAACAAAAAATTCTATTAAATACTATTTAAAATCACTAAATCAAAAAATTAAGAAATATTTAAAAATGACAAAATTTGACAATAATAATTATAATATAAATCTTAAAGAAAGTCGTCATAAAACTATAACATACTAATATTTATTTATTTATAATCTAACGATGTTCAATTTTCCAATAACACTGTCCAATAGGATAATTTATATATTTCTAAACCCTATAATAACAATGCGTTTTGAGAATTCTTCCTCATCGGCCCGCATCTCACTTTCACATATTGACAACATTAAGTATGTAACAATATATAAGATACATATGATAATATTGAGTATGTAATAATAAATAATACTTGTTAGGTAATATTGAAGAAATGATTTTTTTTGCATAAACAAATATGGTGCATTTCTAAAACTTTAAAATATATGGAAAAAATCTTACTACATTATAGGAATTTGTAATTGTCATCTATTTACCATAAATTAAAAAAAAGTCATGATGGCAACCGTAACCTCATATAATTTTTGGTAATAATTATGGCCACATGTTACACTACGCCAAATAAGCTTTTTAATAGCGTTTTTTGTTTGTTTTTGATAGCGCTTAAAAGTGCTATTAACCGCGCCACTATTGTAAATATTTCTTATTAAATAGCACTTTAAAAGCGCTATTAAAGTACCAATTTAAAATAGCGTTTTAATTAAAGTGCTATCAAAGTCAGTATTTTGCATGTTTTTTGTTTGTTTTTTTATAGCACTCTAAACAAAAAGCGCTAATATATAACATATGTTTGATAGTGCTTTCAAATAAAGTGCTAATAAATGGTACATATTTGGTACAATATTTTTAATAAGTACAGTACAATATTTTTTCTTACACAATCATTTTTTTTGGTGTAAATATAAAATAACTATATTCAATTCAACACAAATAACGCTTTAATTTACTCATTGCATATATATTATGATCCATCAAATACCAAATAACATTTTAAATTACCAAATCCTATTGTTTCCAAATATCATAACATATAGAATATTAAGAGGGCGTTTGCATAGCCAAATTTGTAGATGCCCATCTATGAGTACTTCAATCCAAATCCAAAAACATACAATCAAATTCTCTAAACAAAACACCAAAAAAATAAGAAAGAATAACAAAACAATCCCATGTAGTAACCACCTTCATGATCCAAAAGCGTTGAACTCATAGATACAATCACTAATTAGGCAAAATAATTGCTTCTTGTTTTCCTGTATCATAGAAGGAATATTGATTATGTATTGTACAATAAAAACTAATTCAACATATAAAGAATAATCAAACATTTAATATGGGTCTAACAAGAAGCGCATAAAATAAGGAATGATTATTATAAACTAATAACAATAAATCGATATAACTAATGCAATAATTGAACTAATTAAGTCTAACAAGAACATGACTTGTAAATATATAGACCACAATTTCCATTATTAGATGCATATAAACACTAAACAGAATATAATTCAAATTCTCAAAATATACATAAACACTTAATTGTGTGTAACTTTCTTTTCATGATCCAGAACTAGATATCAAACACCTTACAATTGTTACTACGAATATCTAAAAATTTCAAGTAGAAACGGAAAACTATAAATCAATCATACAATAAGATATAAGTCATTTTTCCGTATTTTCCTATTTCAAAATTTAAATTCGAGACCAAGAAAGAACACTCAGTACCTGAAAGAACAGAAAATCAGAAATACATGTAACTACATTTAAGCGCGTTTCAACATTCTCTAATCTAATAAAACAAAAGCAAAAGACTTTGAAAATCATACACTGGTGACAGTTTGCTCTTCTGAAAGGCATAAGCCTCTTGTTTCCGGAACATGATGGTAACCCTGGACGAAACTATCCAATTAGAAAGAGTAAGAGGAATTAGATTAATTTCAATGACTGAAAAACAAAGAATGGATGTTTCATTACATTCTTTTCTCCAACAATGGCTTCATTAAGTGCTTCTGTCCCAACTAGAAGCATCGGGATTTGTTGATCAATTCTCATATGCATTCCTTCATAATAGTCTCGAATAGCATGATAAAGAGGTTGACATTCACTGGTATCTGTTATAGCAGATTCCATGCACTCAAAGCACAGAATCCGTCCATCATCCAATCTAAAGTATCTCTCTCCACGAGACTTCAAGGAAAAGATCATTCAAAATTTACATATCAGAATAAGGGAGAATCATATATTTAGCAAAATCTCATCTCTTAGATCTTAAAAAAGAAATGATAAAATATATTAGTACCTCTAATCTTTCGCAGCTACAACAGCGAGCAGTATTGTCATATTCATGAGATGGACAGTACTTTTGGTTCCAATAAGGGTGACACCTATACTCAATCAAACCAGAACCATTTATAGGTATCTGCAAGTGAAATAAATTATCATGTGTTAAAGATTATAGGTCAATTGTAATAGACACGGCTGTTTTTGCAGTAACGGACCATTTTTTAAACCTTGTGACCCTAACTATTGAAGAAAACTAATAACAAAGTAGGACAGTATGAATAAGCAAAGGAAGAGGAAGACGAACTTACATAATGATGACAAACTTCACATTTAGGATGGCTTAACTCTTTAAAACAATATTTGTGATATGGATGCTTCCCTGACAAAGAAAACTTGGATCAACAGAAACAAAAGGCGGTAAGAGATGGATAGAAGATAAAAGTTACAATCAATGTTTTTGTAAGCATAGCTTTGAAAGCTTCAATAACATGAATTTACGAGTGCATCTACATGCTGTGACTGTAAATGTGTGTTAAAAGCTTCAAAATAGATGATTTCGATATCATATAAATTTTTCAAGAGGATTAAACTACCTCACGCTCGGTAATAGGATGATGGCAAGAGTGACACCGAAAGCAATCTGGATGAAAATAACTCTGTTCGACTCCCAAACAATTCCCATAGAGTATCTCCTTGTTGCACCCTCCACATAATCTAGTATGCGATGGCATGCTGCACATTTTCAGTTGTATAAATTATAATGTTACAACACGCGTACATGCATACATACATACATACATACATACATACATAATGTCAGAGAAATCATGACTTGTACGATGTTGGCTAGCAGTAGTCAATAACAAATTCAAACAATCATGCTATTGAACTATCACTGAAATTAGAAGAAATCTTTTTACCTGTATCCCCGGGGATAATACGGTAAAGGGGCATATGGAGGGTGTAGAGACGAATGCATACGATCCTGAAGTCCCTTTGCATAATCATCATTAGCTCCCGTTCGCCATCTATATCCTTAATGAGAAAATCGAAATAAAAGTTTAATCATTGTTTATCAAAATTACTATAGTAAGAGACCAAGAAATTTCTTCAAAATCAACACCTACCTGCTGGTATCTTTAAATCTTCATTTAAAGAAAGTGCAATTGCATTGCTCAAATCCTCATCCTCTTTCTTCGTTCTAGCACGGTTATCCTATTCGCATCAAGAATATTGTTTAAAACAACAGTGTTATCATTAAGCTTTTAATGAACAAAAACCAATAGTTTAGTAAGTGATTTTGTTTACCAACGATCTAGGTGGCGCTCGCCAAGCCATGTTTTCCTCTGTCGGTTGCTGCAGATGATGACTACCGCCTTTTCCTCGATTAGAACCAATTTTGAAAATCTTACCAAACCATTTCATAAAACCAGACTTCCTCTCTGAGTATGAAGAAGAAAAATCCCCTGCTTCCCACCAAAATCGTAACAACAATAAAGGGTTTAATAAAGCTCTTATATCATAAGCATTTATCTAATAAGTGCTTATATATAAACAATTTTTACGACAAAACATAAAGTCAAACAATTTTCATATAAGCTATAAACTATTTTCTCAAGATGTCCTCCCAGCGGAGAGCTTACACAAATAATCTAAAAACAACTTTCGCAAATATCATATATTGTTTCGATAAACTCTTTCAAATTCAAATAATTTCATAAGTGTTTAGTCCATAAATAAACTCAAATAACTCAACGCAAACAATTCCTAGGATATAACAAGTTTCACATAACCTTATTTACATCATATCTCTAAGAACAATAATCCATGCGCATTTAGTAAAATCAATAAAAACAAAAAAGCTTCATAAGATTGTGAAGTCACATGATTAATGATAAAGAAGGAAGAAAAAAGAGAAGTAAAATACCATAAATGCAAGGGTTTGAGAGATGGTTGATATCTGAAGGAGGAGCCATAGTGATGGTTGAAGGTTATATGTACGTGAGAGCAAGAGAATGGAAAATGAAAACGATGGGGAGAAAAAAGAAGGGTTTGGAGAGAGAGATGAAAAGAAGAGTAAACTAAACATGGTTAATAGTGGTTGAAAAAGAGAGGAGAGGAATCTGAGATGGAAGTGGTAGAGGGAGAGATTCTTGGCTTGGCCACCAACCTCGTCATTTTCAGCAGCCTTTTCAAAATACTCTTTTGCCTGTAATTCAGAAAAAGATATCATAAATTAAGCATAGACATACATAGACACACAATACCACCGATAAAGTGTGTCCCCATTCCATTCCCCAAAAATTTGAATTCCATACAAACACAAAAAAGGTAAAGATGATCATACTTTAGTGTAATTTTTGCTGTCGACTCCATAGCCTTTGACATACAAATAACCAATCCCATTATAAGCAGAGTAGAGGTGATGCTTAGATGCTAGAGTAAGCCATTCAAAGGCTTTTGTATAGTTCCTCTCAACACCGGCTCCCCTGGCATATATCTCTCCGAGAAGCTCCATGGAGCGAGGCTCTCCCTTCTCCACTGCCTTCAAGAACCACGAAAGTGCCTTAGAATGGTCACGCCTCAATCCACGTAGCCCAAAGTAGTAAAAGAGTCCCACTTTGTACATAGCAGCAGCATTCCCTTTCTGTGCCTGATACTTGAGAATCTGAAAATCCTCATCCTCTTCCCCTTTAGATTTTCTAAGTGCCTCTTTGTTCTCTTCAGCTCCATTGTGTAGCCTAATAGGTTCAATGACGGGAGAATCTTTGGAAATGAGAAAACCATTGACAGCCACTTCTGCTAATTCAGCATAAAGCTTAACCGATTTATCAAACATCTACAACCATTCCAACATAATCAAAAACCCTAACATTATAATAGAATAGAATATAGAAGTTTATATATTAGGAAAAACAAGTGAACTCACATCTTGACGAGTGTAGGTATAAGCAAGAGCCATTTTGGATTGCATATTGCCACCATCTGAAGCAAAATGATGATAAACAAATGCTTTATGTTTACTCCTCTCTCTCAAAAGCCCCATTCCCCACAAAAACCCTAACACTGATTATGCCGCCGGGTATCCAGACTCTGCAGCCGTCTCAATCTCACCAGAGCCTTCTTCGATTAGCCTCGTGTCTCCTGTCATAAGCTTGGTCACGGCGGAGTAGTAGAGAGCCTCCGTATCGGATTGAGGTTGAGGTTGCGGTTGGGTGGAGGTTGGTTCGAAGATTTGGCGCCATGATCCAGGGTCGAGATCCTCTTCGGATTTGTGAGAGTCGGAGTCGCCGAACTCGTCCCACTCGGGGGAGGAATCGGGATCGGAAGGGGGTTCGTCTTTGAAGTCTTCTTGGGAGAGGACGAGGACGTAGGGGCGGGCGGTGACGGAGAGAGTGAGGAGAGAGAAACAGAGGAGAGAGATGAATAATTTGGCGGTGGGCATTGCTGTGTTGAAAAATCACAGTCACAACAATTGAAATTCAGAAATAATATAGAAATTTGGAATGAGAAGAACAATAATGAAGGATAGTGAATGTAAATGGATGAAATGTCGAGGATAGTCAAATAATAGCGTTTTATACAAAATGCTATCTTAAAGAAGTTTAATAATAGCGTTCTGGTACAAAGTGCTATCATAATTACATAGTCTGTATTATATAATAGCGCCCGATTAAAAAGTGCTATTATAAATGTGTTTTATCCATTTTAATAGCATTTTTTTTAAAAGTGCTATTAAATTAGGTGATACAAAAAATCATTTTTGGCGTAGTGTTATTTTAGTAACAAGCTTTTTATTAAAATGAATAATAATAATAAAAATAAAAATAATAGTAATAATAATAATAATAATAATAATAATAATAATAATAATAATAATAATAATAATAATAATAATAATAATAATAATAATATATTGTTAGATCTTCTGTTGGGAGTTTGCTGCAAAACATAGACAAGAAGAAGATAAAAATGGTACGACGAAAGAGGCACAAAATAAATTCCAAAGTGTGTATTTAGACTACTTTAGTTTCAATTCACCCCTACAAATTTAGACAAATTGAATGCAAATGAGTTAACTAGTGAATCCTCTTCAGGATACTTTGAAAACTTTAACATGAATCACACATTCATATTAAGCATAATGATCAAAGTTTCCTTATATATTCTTGTACACTAGAAAAATAAAGAAGAAAAACGTGTACCAATTAATGAGGAGAAACAATGTTTCAATTGTTTCAAAATGATGACTCAGGAACAATCATATATCCATAACGGTTAACACTAACACCAACTAGTACACTGGTTTGTTGGGTGCTTGCTCACCAACCTCGGAAAGTGCAATAACCAATACTTGAACCAATAACATCAATATTACCATTAACTATTTTAACCATTATGTCATTGTTTTTCTTTATGACTTCTTTGTCAATATATTTTTAAATTTTTTTTCAAAATATTTTGGAAATTCCCCAAAATTCCTCCATCATTTTCAAAATATATCTAAATCTATTATTCAAGAAATTTCATAATTTCATATAAAGGTATCTTACGATTTGAAACATTACTTGTAGTAAGTTAAGTTTTCACTCATCCCTAAATAGATTGGTAGACAAGCTTTGAACTAATTATTCATTAGAACAAGCGTGACTAAATCACACATGAAATCTCAGTACCATTGATCAGATTATCAATATGACACATAAATAAGACCTTGTGTCTCATATCCTTTTCGTGAGAATTTAAGAGTCAAATTGTAACATCTCATATTTTCTTCTGAGACTTGACTAAAAAATCATCAAATACTTGTTTTAAATGGAAATAAAATGATTGAAAAATTTAATAAATTCCACTTAAGCTACATTCCTAAGAGGAAAATCACCGCACTTTTAATTCAATAAAAAATACTAATTAAATGATTCCAAAATGTAATGCAGTTGATTTAGTTTTACATAATGCTATTGAAAGAACCCTTCTTTCCCCACGAGCAACATCAAATAGACATCAATCACTTTAAGAACTCCATATTTGTACCTAAGATGTTTTTGTAAGGGTTAGTTACCCATGTCAAAATAAACTAAATAAGGGTTAAAAATTAGAGAAATACCAATAGAGATATCATGTCCAAAAGAATTTAATAAATGTACTCACCAAAAATTATTAACAACAAAACTATTAGCTTAACACAGATTACACGTAAGATTTAATCACCATTATCAACAATCAATCACATTTCGGCCAAATGTAGAATATGCATGCTCTTAAACTATATGATACATATATAAACGGCCAAACACGCAAACACGCCACAAAGGCAAACACGCTACAAAGTCAAACCCTCCACAAAGACACCACACATAATTTAACTCATGTCAATGAGGAAAATAACCCGCCACTAAAGCACCATGCATAAATGCATATTCCATGACATGTATGATGAAAAATGAAATGGAATCACCTACTATTAAGACAAGCACTCAGATTTATACCCACCACTAAGACAACCACATAATACATGTAGTATTTATTCCTTCTTATCTAAATAAAGATATATCACAGTTTATTAAATTCATTGAATAATTGATACAATATACTACATTAATTTAAATTAACTCTCATTTTATTTATTTAAATATTGCAACATTCGTACCAGCAATTATTATGTCAAATCAATGCAATAGGTCTTGGACAAATTTATATTTAGGGTAATAGTTTGTGCATGGTTGAGTCATTATGAGACATTAACTTCAAAATTAATGATCTTACATAAACTATAACACCACCACCCAAAAGCTGTTATAGTTTCAAATCTAAAAAAATTGATAAAATTCTTACTATAACTGCCCAGGCCGAGTCATTTGACCAAAATATGAGTAAAAAACTCAAAATTTAAAATTACCTATCTAACCGTAAATATTGTTAATCATTTTGACAAAATTTTATCTCACACAGGTATGAAAAATATTAAGTATTGTTAAAAAATTTTGCAAACTTTGATAAATATAATTGATTGTTTTGTTTTGAACTTAATCTAAAATTGAAATTGTTATTTTTGATTTAGAAGTTTAAGTGTTATGAATATTAATTAAAGAAAAGATAAATATATAATTAAAATAAATCACTAACTTATATTTTTAAAAGCAATTAGTTTTAAATATTAGATAAATCACGTACTATTAGTTTATTTTTATTTTCATGAATTCAATATGACTCATTCATACATTTCAATTATTCTCCATGTATTAATTATGGCTCTAAGTGAATATTATATAGTTATAAACACAAAATAACCATATATGTTAAACCCTATTATGTTTATATTTATTTAACTTCTTAATCTATTCTTTTGATATAAATTTTTATCTCTGATATTAAAATTTAAAAAATATTGATTAAACATATTTTCTATATCATTTTATATTTAAAAATTAACTTAACCTTTATAACGTATAAATTCTAAACATGTTTACTATTTTCTTTTTTCTGCAAATAAATTCAAATTAAATATATTTTATCATAGTATTTTAAAAATACAATTTAACTTAACCATTAATTTTATTAAATACAACAAATTCAATAACCTATAGGTTTTGTTTGGCAAGACTGTTGTGTTTATGGCTCTTTTTACAATGTTATATTTTGTGTTAATAGATTTTTCCTTATAATTAGATAAATTAATATATTTAATAATTGTCATTTTCTTAAGATTTTATAATTTATTTTCATTGATTTATAGTTTGTTTTAATAAACTAAATCAAGTAACTTATGGTTTTATTTTCCTCACCTTAATTCCAAGAATCTTAATTAAAATATTAAAGTTAATTAAACTTATTTTTTTATGTCATTTGATATTTATAAGTTCCTTCAACCATTACAACTATCATTCACTTCAAATTCAATCAACTTGTAAAAATTCTGCTAGTACAAGTGAATGAATGGTTATTTGTTATTTTATACCCAAAAAATGTTTATAAA